CCTGCTGAAATGTCAGGCCAGTTCGCGAAAATTTTATGCGTAACAAAGGTTACCACCTGACACGACTGCGAATCAAAGATGTAGGCATCGCTCGGCGTAAAAGAGACAGTCTGATGTTTGGCCGATATTATTTATATATGGTATGTCATTTTTTCATGAATTTACCACGAGGGTATTCATTCTTGGTATATTTCACTCAAGTTGTAATTGTATCGTAGAAATTTGTTTTTACTATCTTTTCGTGAAACATATTATTTAAATGGAAAAAGATCAGATAAAACGAAAAATTCTATATAAAAAGAATAAAGATTCTTTTTTTTGTAAATTATTTGATTCAAAAATATGATAAGAGATATTAGCTCCTTTTCCTCCGGCACCACGACAGTATACACGGCACGTGATCAGGAGAGTCTGAGGGGATCTCGTCTCTTAACGGTCCAATGCCCGGCATTACTATTTGATGAGATAAAAAGCGCCGCGGTGGCCTCGACTCGTGAATTTTTAAAGGAGCCTCGCAGGTACCGTTACGTTCCCCGAGTTTCCGAGGTTAGGGGGTGTCGATACCCTGGGGGGACGCCACAGTAGTCTTCTACCTTTAATATTTTAGCACGGTAAATTATACCTTTTCCTTGCATACACTGATCTTCTACTTTCTCCATCTTGTCCTTCCTCAGACCACGCCGACGTTGGTAAGAACGTTGATCCGCGTCAATGTTTTTCTATTTGCTCTTGGAAAGAAGAAGGTATTTCTAAATATGTATGTACCAGGGGTGTGTTTTCTTTTATTATTTAAAATAGCGAAAACAGTTTTTCCAGAATCACACGTTCTCACACATTATAAAACGAAAAATGCATGCGATCTTTTTTCGTTAAAGTAAATTAAGAGATTAGTTTAATGATGTACATTAAATTTTGAAATAGGTCATTTTTATATTACAATCCGTTTGCGCGCCTTTAATGCTACATTTATGATCATTCAGCGGAACTAACACTGAAAGCAGCAAGCTGAAAAGACACAAATCAGCGGCGACAACGACAAAGACTGAGACGCGGATGGTACAGTGTATCTTCGTTTCGAGGAAACTAATCATCCGCAAGCCGCTTTTGGTGGCTGCGGAAATGCATACACTCGCACACAGGAATTTTCAATGCGCACAAGTCGCGACGATGATTAAACCCGGAGCGAAATAAAGAAAAAGCACGGGTGGGTGAAGGAGCGAGTTCGCGCGCGAGCGATGACAACTTTTGAACATTTTCCCTCGTATTATCACTATGATCACGAACTTAATCAACTCGGTCCGAATACTGAAAGTTTCAAACTATAAACTGTAACAAATCAGCAACTCGTAAGCTTTGAATGAAAGAAACACATGTGACGTTTCTCCATTGATCTGGGCGACGAGAATAAAAAATTGAGCGCTAAAATAGAACGTAGAGATGATTCAGATAGCGTATCTGCTTGAAACATTGTGAAAAATTGATTTATGACTTTTCTGATTGAAGAGATATGAAAATTTGTACGCTTTAATAAACTGCGATTCAGATAATAACGTAAAACTGAAAATACGAGAGAAGAAAATGTGTGAAATTTTAAGTCTGTTGCGAAAATGAGAAAGGGACGGGGGAGAGAGGGCGGAATCTGCGCAACAATCAGATCCCTGAAGTTTAGAGTTTAGAGGACATCGGCGAGATGACGGGAGATATTTCTATTTAATAGTCGGCGTATCACGCCGGTAATGGAAGTCGAGGCGTTTGCATGCTGGGAGACACGCTGGTGCTATAAAGTTAATGGCATCGTAGGCAACGCGATAAAATGATGCATCGCGGCTTGGCGATGATAATATTATGCCGACAGCTGCACCTATCCGCTTCAACTCGCGGAAGAACATACACATGTTTTTTTTCCTTCTTTCGAACAATTTCTTGGTGATTCCTTATTTGATTGAGAACCGCTTCGATTTAATTGCAATTAACTTATTAAATAATATCTACAGTATTTATGTGTGGATTATTAACTCTTTATTATTTGAGATAAATAGCAAAAGATTAGATTAGAAAGGATGTGAATTATATAATTAGAAATTTTACTGTAGGCAATTATGCCATCTAATTGAATTAATCAACGATTAATTTAATCAAAATTTCATCGAAACTCCGGATAAGAATTAATAGCTCGAATCATGTTTTACGATTTTGTCGTTGCTAACGACACGCGTTGCCGAACGTGAGCGAGTAATATCATCAATTGTACTTAATTAAAAGCGAACTCGTATAAAATCCAAATCATAATCCTTTACAGTCTCTGTCGTTAATTTTGTGCAAACGGTATTACACGTTTGAATGTCGGTGTACGTAGGAGGAACGCGTATTAGCGGCGCGAATCGTGTAGAAAAGCTCTCTCCGTCTCTTCTCGCTTTCGTCTCTTCCGCAAAGATTCTCCATCCGCCATCCCCCTTCGCTATTTTCTCGCCGTCTTCGAGCTCCTATCTCCGTTCCAGGTTCACGACCGGATTGTAATGATTAGTATAACGAGAAGATCCGCGCCGGAGCTTACGGGTAAGCGCGGATACCGGGAATTGCTTCGCTTTTAATTACCGCCAAGCTGCCGGCTGTGTACACCGAGCTCTTAATGCACCGCGCTTTAACGAGTAATACATTATTATCAATAATGCCCGCGCGGACAAGAAGGGGGCACGGATCCTTAAATGATTTTAACAATTTTCCTGAAATTCGCGCGAATCAATCGCGAGCCTTCTCGGGCGAATAGTCGGAGACAGACGACGAAGTAGTTGTCGAATATACAGATCAGTAGCTCGCTAAATTAAAGAGAATAATACAGGCGCAAGTCAGATGGAATAAGCGAATAGTCCGCTATTGTTTCTCATATAACACGCACTCATTGAAAACTCCGAACCGAAGTTACTGATCGCAGTTGCGAGCGCGCTACTCGCGTAAAGTAGACTGCGGTACATTGTTTGTAAGTGGATTATGTTTATAATGGGCCACTCCAGGCCCGTGTTCTGAATATTGCGACCGTGCGCAGATATACCGTATGCGCCGAGGCAAATCATGCTCGTTCGTCGTATCCACTTCAATCGCGTCCCCTGGATTCTCGCCAATGTACATTCTCCATCCGACAAATTGTGCACAGGATGTGACTTTCCGACCTCGGGTTAGAATCGTACGTAGAAACAATATTGTATATTTATCTGCTCCGCAATGCGGGGCAGTTTACCGGTTAGCGCGGAGTATGCCAGGTTTATTCGCTTTGGAATGTAAATTTACGAACGATGCTACACATCGATCGATACGTTCGTACGATTCGCTAGAACGATTGCACGCGCGAGAGTATTTCTCGAACTAGTGCTTTGAATCGCGCAGATATAATGCGTTTGTACCGCGCGGAAATCGCTATGATTTAACGTCCTCTTTTTAGTCTGCTCTCGATATGGTTCATTTAAAGAGAGAGAGAGAGAGAGAGAGAGAGAGAGAGAAAGAACGCGCCGCAATTCTTTCGATAATTTATTGGTCGTAGATCAACGTCGGAGATTTCGGCTCGATAATGCGTTTGTACCGCGCGGAAATCGCTATGATTTAACGTCCTCTTTTTAGTCTGCTCTCGATATGGTTCATTTAAAGAGAGAGAGAGAGAGAGAGAGAGAGAGAGAAAGAACGCGCCGCAATTCTTTCGATAATTTATTGGTCGTAGATCAACGTCGGAGAGAACGCTGTTTCGGCTCGCCCTTACATTCCGGTCCAGAACAATGTCGAAGATCGACGTCGTTTCTGGCCGTGACACCCGCGGGGATGCGACACGCGACGCATCCGCAGGAGATTGATCGTTAAGTCCGACGCGTTTCGGACGATTGACTATACAAACATACCGGACCGTTTCTATCAATATACGCATAAAGTGCACCGAACGAGGCGAACGATCAACAACATGATCTACACACGTGGGAACGTTTACGTTTACGAAACTAATTTTCGCTAAATGTTTCTCTTTTCAAGAGTATCGCGTTACATTTATATACAATTGACGTAAGGAATATCGTGCCGGGTGTCGTACGTGAAATAACCTGGGGCGCATTTTAAAGCAAAGAGAGGAGTTTCGTTATTTTCATTCGCGTGAATACCTTTTCTCCAAAATCTGAATATTGACCTTATTCCGGCGCGTTTGTAGCGCTTTTCTGACTGCGTTACGAGGGGCTGCCATGGCGCAAAATACTGAGCTTGCAAAATGTGAAGTATGCACTTCTGACGCCTCTCGTAAGGTCGAGCGGCCTGTACTTGCCAAGAGGCACACTTTCCCCGAAAGGACGTATAATTATGACATAACCCTCGAGACGTTATTCTCTCTTAATGTGAAATATTCGGGACATGGCATATCGCGGAAAATATTATATACATATGTAAATATACGCAATATTTTTCTTTTTTTACCAATGACTTTGTTCTCGTAAATGGGTCTATTCACACAATCTAATTTCATGTTCTTTTCTTTGTTGCAGAGAGACGCCCTGAATCTGGAACCCAGCAACGTGGCAAATTGCGTGTCCAAAGGCAAATCGGAGGTAGATTTTTTTTTTATACGGTTTGGTTTCGCACTTTGCGCACCGTCTTTGAAAAGAATTTTAATTCCGGTACTGGGAGGGGGGAGGGGGAGGACAAAACTGGTCTGAGCGTGTCAGGAAACGAGAAAGAATTGTGATTGCAGAAAAAGACGTCGAACATAATGTCGAGGAGAAAAAGAATCGCAAGCAGAGCTGACATACTGAAATAAGAGCACTAGTTTCTTTGACGGCGCGCAAAGATGAAACGAAAGACGCAAGTCCGCTCTTTAATAGACATTGCGGTGTTACTAGCGAATCTGAGAAAGAAGTCGTATTTCGTTTGTATCTTTATCGCAAAAAGATATTGCCACATCTCTCATTTCTCGCGAATAATCCGCAATGGCTTTTAGCGCCATGTTGTAATTTCTGAATTAACATACAAATATTCTAAAAAGTTTCATTATGATCGTCTAATCAGAGATAAGTATTATCGCGGCATAAATATCGTAATAACGATAGAAAATTTACGAGTTTTCTCAAATCACCGCTATTGCATTTGTGCCTCGACCGAAAATTCGTACTAACCGTAAAACGTTTAATCCCTCCGTGTTCATTTTTATTTGTACTTCGAAATCCCGCACCGCGCGTCCACGGTGATAAAACACGGGCACGATCGCGTTCCGCCTCATAGACGCGCGTACGCTTATCACGGCTTCATTCGTATGCATCGTGTACGCGTCGTCGTTGAGGTGTAAGGTCCACGCAAATATTCCCTACGTGACGACAAAGCCAATTCATTTCCCGCCGATTCGTTGCGAAATACGCGCGCGACGTGATCGACCGCGACGGAATCGCGACGCGCTCTTTCGCTTTTCCCGCTTTCCCGAAAAGTCCGAAGAGAGAGAGAGAGAGCGGCAGAGCATATTGAACTCTGTCGTCGTCCTCTCGACAACTATCTTCTCGTCGCCGAAACGCACGTCGTACCGCCGAATTTAATTTTCTTCTCTCTATCTTTTTTTTCCTCCAGCATTTCGACTGCCGGAACCATATAAGAGTGATACAACCGATGGGAGACGGAAATCGGCTCTACATGTGTGGTACGAATGCGCACGCGCCCAAGGATTGGGTGATTTATGTAAGTTTCCACATTATTTTTAATCGAGAAGTTAGAATATACATTTATATAAGAAATAACCCTATTTAATGTTTTATCAAATATATGTTAAATATACATATGTCATTAAAATTTTCATTTATGATATATGAACAATTATTTTTATTTTTCCAATGGCAGGATATCGAAACAAATATTGCATTGTTTCTCATACATATTATTCCATTCTTTTATATCTTATAAATTCCGATGCATACTAAACAAATTCGTTAAATTTGATTTTGTAATACGCAACGGTTTGTGACTGGATTGGAATGGGCAGAAAAAATACACATATATGCGTTTAAACATGCGCTGTCATTTGTTTATCGAAAATTGAAAATGTAAAACGATGTTAAATGCATTCACAACTTCTCTTGAAACGTATTACGAATTCAGCGCGATGTGCGCAACGCACGCCGATTTATGCTACTTTACGCTTAATTTAATTAATTAATAACAGAACACGACAAGGCATCTGAAAATAATATCGTTAATTAATTTTCGCGTTACGAATAAATTTCACCGCCACTCACGCATTCCTCTATAATACGTTCCCAATTTAATTCCTGTTGAAATATTTAAAGCCATAATGAATAATGCTATTATTGATAGAAAGAAATTTATATGCATTATCGCAAAATAATAGAAATCCACGCGATATGATTGGCAAAATTTTATGTATTAGAGCATATCAAAGTAATTAAAGTAGATGAATGAATCTTACGTTTAAATACCCGTGTAAAACGAAACGAAAAGATACACGAGTTTCGCTTCGCCAAATGTTATGAGCCTCGAGTGTATCGTAACATCTCACATAATAATGATATCCGCTTACGTAAGCTGTTGCTCGAGATTATGGCTACTAAATAAAGTTAACTATTTGAAGATATTCGATATTGAATGAGATGAGATGGATATAAATATGATATAATAAAAGATTAAATTTGAGGGATGGGAAGCTGGTTGAGATGGATTGAATTTTTAAAATTAAAATATAGCATTTTCTTCGTACGTCTGATATTTTAATTATGTTTGATTAGATTTGTTAATGATATTTTTTAATATGTCGAACTTGTGTATGCAACGTGTAATTACGATTTAAATTTACTATCGCTAGTTTTTTATCCATTTTAATTGATTTTAATATATATTATATTATATTATTTCAGTAATTTTTTTTTTTTAACGCTATTTTTCTCATTATATAACTTTATTATTCTTTGATAATTTGAATTGAAATGATGGAATATTTAATAATTAAACTGATAATTTTAGATTAGAAAAATTCTTTTGCGCTATAATTCGCTTTTTCAGCCTTTGTATATTGCTAATGTCCAACCTGACCTCGTTCTCCAAATGATGTTTTTCCAGAGCAATCTGACTCACTTACCGCGTCACGAGTTTGTTCCGGGAGTGGGAATGGGTATCGCGAAGTGCCCTTACGATCCTGCGGACAACTCTACGGCGGTTTGGGTCGAGAAGGGCAATCCTGGGGACTTGCCAGCTCTTTATTCCGGCACGAATGCC